TGGTCGAGTGTAAGTTGTCCCTGCCCATGGCAGGGGGGTTGGAACTAGATGGTCTGTAAGGTCCCTTCCAACCCAAACCATTCCACAATTCTATAACCTTGAAAGACTCATGCAGACCATGTCCAAATCCTGTAATTCTTCAGTGCACAACTAGATGGTCAGCATCTGTGGGATGCTGAAACTAACTCTACTACTATTAACCATAGTCTCTAATTGTAGCTATCGGTGCCACACACAAACAGAGTTCAGCAATCCCCAACCCCTTTCCCTCCTCTGTATCCTCACAGATTGCATTACCATACCTGACATTCCACATTGCAGTAAAAGGCCTGTTTACATCTTCCACACTTGGACAATCCTTCTTTCCTTAAAAAGAAAACAGAAGTTATCCTATTCCATAAATCTGAATGAAATATGAATGTATCACTTTTCATACAATATTTTTCACTTCACAATGAAAACTTTATTTTCTTCTGAACACTTGAAGCCCATCTTACAATAGCAGATACTCTTTCTATTCGTTTAAAGTTTCAAAAGCAAGTTTTTCCTAACAACTGTTATTATGCAAAAGCACTCTGCTGTCCTGACAAATGGCTGGGTTTGGAAATATGTAATTCTATGCTGTTGAGAGCATCACTTTTTGGCACTGTATGATGCATACTGATAGCTAACTTTTCTTTGTTTTCCAAACTTCCCAATTACTCTGTATACTTGCTACCAATATTAACCCTTTGCTTCTGCTCTGCCAGTTCCATTGCTTCCCTGTCTGCTTACAGAAAGCATGACTTGTTTTGTGAGTACCCGCTTCCGAACACCCAGAAAACATGTTGCATTATTAAATACTGTTTGATCTCCTGCCACCACAGAGCCTCTTACTGTCCCACTAACATCTGCTCTGATATCTGTGTATTCTAAGGTGACCTAAGGCTCACACTCTCCTTTTTTTATATTTGTATATATCCCAGTGGAGGGAACCGCCAAAAGGAAGGTCTTTTCCTGCTTCAAGGTACATGTGTTGTAGCAGATCCCACCAAAAATAGAGCACGTGTTACTCAACACGTGACATTTTGTGTGACAGCAACAGGGATCTCTCCGCTGTATTGAATACTTTTGAAATGTCTACACGCCTTCCCCAGTGTAAATGGAAAAAAAAAAACCCTGACTTAAACGCAGGCAAATTCATTGGAGTAAAAGATGGGTGTGTCCTCGTACAGCACTTCAGAGGTCACTGGCATTTGGAGTCCATAAAAGGTAGCAAGTCTTGACATCCTCTGCTTGTTCTTGCAAAGAGGAAGGAAGGTGCAACATGAGTGAATCAGGCTAAGATCAGGACTCTGCTTGCTCAAGCGCAGCTTCGTATTTGAAGTAACAAATAGTATCAGATGCAAATACAACCTTCTAGTCTCATTCTGCCCATTTTACTACAACAGTTTCATGACCACTTAGCAAAGTTTCTCTTCCCAAGATTAGTGCTGAGTCCACAACCTCCCCCTAAAGCTCTCTGCAAGTTCAACAAGCACAGTCCAGAATCTCGTATGTGCTAGTTCAGCGCTATTGCAATGGCACAGTCGCAAAACACGTTTCTGAGCACTGGCAGATCAAGTTACATCACTGAGATACCTTTCCTCTTAGAAGAACCTCATCACCCGGGGTGAAATGGGTTTTAGACCACCCCACTGCAACTGCTATGGCACTGCATTCAGTGTATTCCCTGATCACTGCGCTCCTGCAGGCAGAACAAGCAGCATTTAAGCAGGCTGCCCCTGAAGGTGATCTTTAAAAGCTACTCCATGAGGTAATAGTTACCTCTACAATATTACTCCATATCAAGAAGCACAGAAAGCATTCCTTGATCCTTTTACAGAGAGAAATCTTCTGGATGCGATAAACAAAACCAGCCAGGTTTTTTGGTGCAAGGGACTTCGTGGTTAGACACAAGAGAGAAAAAATAAAACCAAAACTTAGGGGCTATGAAAAGCCACTGGTGTGAAGGAAGAGAGGAAAATCACCTCAGTTCTACAGTTCTTCAAATTGATGGGACTCACTTCACTGACTTCATTAGGAACTATATGAGGTGTTCATATGCAAAGAGAGGGGTGAATAAGTCATATAAGTAGATAACGTAATGAGGAAAGGACAAGGTCAAGAGAAAACGGAAAAAAATGAGAAGCATAACTAAATTAAGATGACAGGACATGAGATGAAAAGACCTGCTAGAGTGCAGTAATTATATTCTTCAGTCTACGTATGCAAGCAATACTTACACAGTGATAAAAATAGCTAATGCACGACAGTTGTTTTCTTTCACTGAGGCAAACACTAACATTCGCTCCGAGTAATAACCAGGTAAGCACTGCGATTCTTCAGTAAAGTGCCAGAAGTCAGGAAAGTACTGCACCTTTTAAAAACATGGTGTGACATGCCACAGCATCACATCCATGCCTCCTTTTCCAACGATAACCCTAAACTGCCTTTTTTTTTTTTTTTTTTTCTGCAGCTGCTGACATAGAGAGGTTTAGGGCAACCACCGGACTACCCGCAGCAGGTCAAACTCACAGCTGCTGAGCCCCCAGAAAGCTCCAGCCCCCGCAGCCTGCCAGAGCCGGGAGCCACGGAAGGTCACAGCCTCACGGTAACGAACCTCTCCTGCTGCCTGCGCTTGGCCTTCCTGGAAGGAGTTTACCCGAAGACTACGGTTTCCGACAGGGAGGCAGAAATAGAGATCTTCCTGTATATTTCATGACAGACCTATGTACTCCGTTCATACCACAGAAATGCAGATCGTGAATCAGGCACCTGCAGACGCTTTCTCCCCAGCTAATTCTGTAGCAACTTCGCTACAAAATCAGTGAATTTGATTTTGTAGTGAAGTTACTACAAAATCAGCTGGGTCAGCGAAACTTCCCGTGAGAGCAAGGTTACGGACGGAGCACATGAAGAGCAAAACTTTCCCTTTTCCTTTCATTTGCCTGAACTGTCAAGCAAGGAAAACAAGTTTCGAGCCAAAAGCTTCCTCACGGCTCTGCCGCCGGAGACCCACGGGCCGAGGAGGAGGGGGGCAATACGGCACCGCACGGCCCCGGCGCCCCCGGCAAGCCCTCTGCGGGG